AAGTAGAGGACCGAAGAACGTACCTGAGCAGGTGACAGTCCGATGAGGTTCACCAGACTCTGTCTGTTTCGCAAGATCGGCGTAGCTGGGGAGCCTTCCGCAATGGCTTCCGGTATAACGAGAGTCGGTCTATCGCGCCGGCTCAAGCTGCCCATCCGTACGTCCCGTGGGATAGGGGCGTCCGATCTGCTCGAAATAGCAGCCTCGAGATCCTCGTCTTCACGAGTACTCATGCCTTCGCCTTCAGTCCCGTGTGATTCCGATCCTCCAGAAGCCCAAGCAATGATAAACACACCAGCAAAAGTAGCAGCGCAGCCGTACAAGAAAGTGACTATTTGGTGGAACGTTGCACGTCTGAAGTCGCCGTAGAGAATTGCGGAGCCAACGATGGCCGAGAGGTTGAACATGACGAACTGTGTTGGGACCACAATCTGTCGAAAGTGGCACATGAGGAGGAATCCACAAAATGCCCGCGCAAAAGAACATACCTTGCTGTCGAATCGCATCAAAGCACGGTTCAGGTATCGTATTTGACCAATACCAGTTCCGAGTAAAACCTAGAAGTAAAGTTTGAGCACGATCAAACTCTCTCAGCGTTCAGCAAGCTCACGGCAATGACGGGGTATGTGATCCACTCTGTGAAGATCTCGAACCATTCCATCGTGAGGAGCGTGGACAACGCTTTTGTAGACAGGACGGTGAAGCCGCCTATGAAGTTTTTGAGTTCGCCTCAACCTCAGCAACGCGCAAATAACTTCACTAACCAAAAATGGCACATAGCCCAACATCAACAAAGACGTGGCGTTGCCCTACACTTCCTTCAGATAGGCTTGATAATACGAGAGCAGCCACGACATATAATATAGAGAACACGATGAAGACTTTTTGCGAGATGGCCCGCAAAAGGCTGTCCGGATTGAGTCGAGTGTCCGACGAGTTGGCGGACAAAACGACCGTCACAGCGCCTACAACGGCGACCAAGATGCCAAAAACGTCCCTCTATCATCAACCGCGAAGTAGATTGGTTAAGGGTTGTATCATAGTTGCACTCAGACCTTACCTTCCTGAACCTCTCTTTGAGCATCACAGGTGCAAAGAAACAGTTTGCAATCAAGGCAAACTGTCCAGAGTCAACATATGTCACTACCCTATCACAAGGAGAGACAGACATACTGTTCCTAGCGGCGCTACGACAGATGCAGGAGCGAAAGCGTAAGAAATGAAATTTCCCATTTCGCCAACGTTCATGAGGGCAAAGCCAAACCACCTAAAACACGGGTATGTACGGCTCGAGACCAATAATGAGGGGAAATGAACATGGGGCGCACCACAATTTGGATTTGAGATAGTCGCTTTCGCTGCGGTTATCATCCTCTTGGTTTCCTTTGACCGGGGAGGCCTGTCGCCTCGTCGCACCAGACGGCTCTATAACGACTATATCGACTGGTACGAACGAGCGCGGAGGTCCAGCGGAGCGCCTATGGTTGACCCAGGGAAACACTCTTTTGAGCACAGATGAATTCTCGCCGGGAGAACTATCGGACTGTGTTCGAGGAAGGAGGGGCTGGGTTTCTGTCGGCGCGACTATCGATGGTTCGTCTGTTTCTGAGGAATGCAAAACTTGACGAAGAGGTAAGCCCGTCGGTGTCAACTCGCCATCTTCCTCTTCTGCTGTGGGATGCAGCACGTTATCTCGTAAATTCCGTTTAACACCATTACGCCTCCGATCAACGTGGCTGCCATTGCTAGGTGTATTTCGTAGCTCGTGTTCGCGCTCGAGACGTCTATGCGCTAGCTTCTGGCAGTTGAGAGCGAGAGAGATGAGTATATTTCCGATTATTGCAACCGATATTCCTGCGATGGTTGCACGACTGAACTGCGGTAGACCCGGCAGAGCAATTTCGTCCAGCAATTTGCTCAGCCAAGTGTGTTGGAGTGGCGATTGCATGTCTTTGTAGGTCAAAGGAAGATGAGGAAGGGGGATTCATGAAGACATAGCAGCTGCTGGTAAGTGCAGCCTCGACGAAGCCGAGCGTTGCAGAGCGCGGTCAAGGCAGCGACGTCAATGTTCCCACGCTTTTGGGTCACAGCCCGCACGGTCCGCAATGTCCGCACCGCTCGTTCCGGCTGATTCTGCTGACGCTGCCCTGGTCAGGACTCAGCGAGCTCGACTTCGACACCGACTGCCAGCAAGAACGATTATTGACCAACACTCTTGTCTCGCAGGAGCACGTTCGCTATGCGCGTTCAGCACAAAGCTTTTCCTTTAGCTGGATTTCCCGTCTATTCGTCCGCTTTTGTGTCCGACAATGAATTGGTACTCGGTGGCGGCGGTGGACAATCAAAGACGGGTATCAAGAACAAACTAGTATGTACACGTACGACGGGGCGTTTCTCAGAGTACTTATATCAGACTCTTTGTAGAGACTGTACCGTGTTCAGTCGGACACTGTCATGACTCACGTCGATGAGCTGGAGCTCGAGAAGGGTGAAGATGCGCCAATGTCCATGGCCACGAACTCGGAGACGAGAGACATAATATGTGGGATCAACAGCGCAGAAATCTCGCTGCAAGACACCCCGAATCAGAATTGTCGCAGATTTACTATCGAGGAGAACAAGTGCGTCTTGGACAGCTTATATGCGTTAGCACTACTGGACATTTCTTTCTCTTCTCGTTCACGTAGAATCGCATTTCAAGCAAGTACGAGTACTCTCAAGCTAGACTCTGCAGAGGATGATTATCAGGTGTGTCTTTTCGTGTGATTTCATATTTAGTCCATCATTCTCATTTCTACGCAGAAAGTGACGGTTTTGTCCCCTGGAAACGATTTTTTGGCGGTCGCTGGCACTAAAGATGTGCGCTCATTTTATCTTTGCGAGAGGGAGTCTAACTGACGGGCTTGTTAGCTGTCGTTACTGGAGTATCCGTCTCTCAGGCCCGCAGCGAACCCGATACGTCTGGATAAGGGCGAGATATACGACGCGACATTTTCGGCAACGACAGTACGTTGATTCCTAATACTCTGGAGCTCAATGACAATGAACAACACTACATAGCTGGTTGTAGCTACCACGATCAGCCTATTAGTGTATACATTGCCCAAACTTGACACATCATCGACGAGCGAAAAGGCTGCGGGCAAACGAAAAGAGACCTTGGGCACGGACATGGAGCTAGTCAAAACCGTCGAACGCCCCAATTTGCCCGGGTTTGACGGCGGAAGCAGCTTTCGTGCAGTGCGCTTCCATCCTCAAGACTCCACAACACTGTACACGGTCATCAATACTGTGCCTTCCCGCAGTCAGAGGAAGAATGCGCCTAGGCGCGCCTTTGTCTGCAAGTGGTCTACCGATAGTTGGGATGTAACTCGTCCGCGTCAGGTGTCCGACCGCGGTCTCACATGTTTTGACGTAAGGTACGCAATAAATGGGCATACCCGCAGGAAGCAGACCGCTGACCTGACCTGACCTCCAGCCACGATGGAAAATTCGTTGCATACGGTTCGTCGGACTATACTGTCGGGGTATTGGATGGCAAAACGCTGGCGGTAGGCGCTTTTGCATTGAGATGGGGAATATCGACTAACAGTTCATTGTAGCCGCTATTAACCATTCTGAAAGCACACGAATTCCCACCCACCACACTGTGTTTCAATCCCTCTGCAACCTTGCTTGTCTCAGGCAGTGCGGACAACACTGTACGAGTCATAGCAGTGCCAGATAATCTCAGTGCTGCATGTGAGTATACCAATGTGATATCGTGAATTGCAGTGTTTGACGTTCTCGTCTACAGCTTGGAGTTCGTGGATCATCGTCCTCGTGACTTTGCTCATAATCATATTCGCCGTCATCGCCCAGCAGATGCAGCAGTCATATTAAGTTGCTGCGTTTGTTCACATTATTCACATCTATGGGCCGTATGTAGCACCTATGCAATAGAGAACATATTCGTTACGTTGGCCAATCTGTACACATAACTTACATTGCTAAGCTGTCTCAATCGTAATCGTCTTCCTCGACCAGCTTTCTCTTTGCGCCGTTCGCTACATCGACGGCAGGAGCAGTCATGGACACATCCATAGCCTCGTCGCCACTCTCCTCCTCCTCTTCTCCTCCAGAGAACAGCCCGGCGCCCTCCCCATCACTGGCCTCTTCAGGTGCTCCGATGCCAGGTGTCATTATGTCCATTTCTGATGGCGAATGCAACGCAGCCATGGGTGGCGGTATTGGCTCCTGTTGCGATGTTTGTATGGGCTGAGAGGGCTCAGCTGTCGGAATAGTCGCAGGCTCCATGTCACCGTCTTCGTCCTCTGACTCTTCAATTTCTTCTAGCTCCTCGTCGTATAGCTTTACGCCTGGTGGAGGCTTGTTGGGTACCAGGTCAAAGTCTACGGAGGTAAGACATTCGGATGCGGGTGGGAGGCGCACGCCAAATACTTCGGGTACGGATGGCAGAGGAACTGCGTTTATTTGCGCTGCTAGTGAAAGTGTATACTGTAGTGCGTTGAGTGTGCGTGTCCTATTCAGAGACAATGTGCATACCTCCTTGGGTATACGCCCACCAAACTCCCATCCTACACGAGACTGCACGGCCAAGACAACATCCTCCATCTCAAGCTTGTTGGGGTGTCCTGCATGCTCTGCGTACACAAGTGCATCTGACAAAACTTGACTGGTGTAGCGGTGCGAGAATTCGAGGAGTTGATGCAAAACAGCGGGTTGTGCGTCTTGTACGGTCGGAGTGGACGCGAGAAGCAACGCAATCGAACGGGCAGTGGGAGGTAACGTTTCTGCAACTGTAGATCTCGACATTGTATTGCGACAGGTGGCTTCCTGGCTGCTATCTTAAAGCTGTAGCGGGTTAGTGTTCACGAAGGGTGCCACAGTCGTTCCAGCGTACACTTGGGGGAGTAGTAAAAATATGATCAGCCACTCAGTCGTGCCAATGGCTGAAGCGACAATCGGTATATCACACAACCGAAGCATTTGCACGCTATGGGCACTTAGCACAGTGGTAGCGCGTTTGCTTTGCATTTGTCACACGACTTGGCTTGCATGAGGTCGAGGGTTCAATCCCCTCAGTGTCCAGTTGCTTTTTGTCCCTGTTAAAGCTTCGCACCCTCACCTCTTCACCCTTTTGCAGGCCACGAGGACGTAATCTTAAAAATGTCAGGTGCAGCGGGTATGATCACAAATCATACACTTGTAATTGAGTACTGTAACAAATCACATATACTTTGTGATGCTATATCAAGTGTAGACTCTGGCTGCTTCTATGAAAGTTTGTCAGCAATTGTACACCTCGGTTGGCATTGAAACACTAACAACCACCCTGGACATGATAGGAGCCAGGAACCAGCACACCAGACCTCATATGAGGCAATCACACGAGCAAGTTGGAAGTGGAAGGTGTGTAAAGTGTGCAAGTTTGGTCAAGCTTGCCTTGAGAGGGCAAAAGTGGTCACAAGTACCCAATGAGTGAGGCTGTATAGCCTTTTTAGTTACAAGGAAACAAACTTGCAAGATACTTCACACAGGAAGGTGTGTGTTTTTCAAATGAGCGGGAAGTGAACACAGGGCACGGAACAAAACACAAGTAAGGTGGGCACTAGGAAAGTAATTGTTGAGTGATGACCTGCCAGAGGAGACAGAATAGGAAGGTGTTAAAACTATATAATATAATATGTAGTTTCCCACGCCTTGTTGCAAGGACGTTTCAAGGTAGCAGAGTTCCCACAGTCTTGATAAGGGAATTATGCAGCCGTATATGGTAACTCCAGTAGTAACCATCACATTAGCTGAGATGTACAGATATGGGTTGTGTAGACTAAGTAGTATAGCACTATAGGGACACTGCACATATATGTATGCCTGTGTTCTAGTAGCATAGGAAATGACATGGAAAGCACGTAGTACAACTCCAGAGGATGCCTAAACCGTACGTCTGAGGACAAGTACTAGCATGAGTCATTTACTCATTATGTACGCCTCTGGTACAAGTGCTGAGCCTAGTCATACAATGAGTCATGCATGCATAGCATGAGCCATGCACTCAGTAATACAGTAAAATAGCTGAAGTAGACATGTATCATAGTTGCTTACATAAATAGATACAGACATGTATATAAGCAGAGCTGCTAAAGCAGCAATAATAATAAGACTCATCTTCGCAGCTTAACAGCCTCTACCCCTCGTACACAACTTCCACTTTGTTAGAAGGAGGCAGACGTGGTAATACTGGCTTACACCAGATGAGATGAGGACTCAGTAATGCTGGCTTACCATGCATGGACATCAAAAAATCAAGTTACACGTATAAGGGACCATGACTGGCACAGGGGTTCAGCATCTGTTGCTTACCCTGTGCCAGGTATGCTATATATGTTCCATCAATCTATATGTGGCTTACTCTGTGCCAGACCTGTCTGCTTGATGAGCTCTGGCACTACATAGCATTTAAAAGATCTCAAATACTTAGCACATCACCACTACCACAGTCAATCAAATTGTCACCCCTATCAATATATTCAGTCATCACCATGTCAAACCTCCCAAACACCGATTCGATCAAGAGCAAGCTACCAAAACTTGAAGACAATGGAGATACCAACTCTTACAGGTCTTGGGTTGTACAAGTTGAAGCAAAGTTGAGGTCACTCTATCTCTGGCTATATGTCAGGAACACAACCAAACTCTATGTAGAGTGAAGAAGTGACAACAGGAAGGAGGAACTGTTGTGGATGGCCCGGCTAGCCCTTATTTTTTGCAATTTACCTCTTGTTGTAAAACCTCAGGCTGCAACTGTCACAAACATGCACTTTTTTCCCTTTCTTTTCCTTCTTATTTTCCTTATCTTATCTTATCAATGGCACATGGCTCTTGCATGTGATCAAATACATGTGACACACTGGTCACATAATCATAGAAGGTACTGGAACATTGTGGAACATTGTAGAACATTGCACCATAGCATACCATATGTTCCCACAGCAGTGTTAGGAGTACAGACCCGGTACCAGGAGTCCTTGTCTGAGATGTATATAAACCCACCCTGTAGCTCCCTAAAGACCTCAGATTCTACCTCCTGGTCTCTAGGTGACGTTTACCTTGTACTAGTCTCATCACTGTAATAATATATACTGGTCTTTAGCTCATTTCTGGCTAATCCCTTGTCGTCGTGTCTCCACTCCTCCTCATCACATATTCCCCTGTTGTCATCATCTGCACAAGTTAGCTCGTTGTTCCTGTCACATATTTTCAATGTTTCTACAAGACTTGCCTTACCAGGCAACGGTATTATTGGGAATATTTAAGTGCTTATCCGGCGTCTATTTAGGCGCTTATCCAGCGCTTATATGGTGCTTATCAGGTGCTTATTCTGGCGCTTATTCTCAGTGCCTATCAATTGATGCGCTGATGCGCCTGACACGGAGACGGGGCTCGACGTGACAAACAGGGACACGAAGTGGAAAACGACGAGGAGGTGGTGGCAGGCGTAGAGCACAATGCTTTCACCAGCTATCAGACTTTGTTCAAGTTGCTAGCCCAGTAAAGACCAAGTTAGTATTCTGACTACCAGCTATGTAGTACAGAGGGGATTTGCTTACCTAGCCCAGTAAAGACCAAGAGGTCAAGATGGGGGCTAGGAGTGTACATGCAGCAGTATATATATAGACTTCAGGGACCTGCGCACAGACCATGTTGAGGGCAGGCTTTGCAAGAAGCCGTGTGAACGAAGAACAAAAGAACTACCTAAAGGAGAACAATAGCTATTGTCTAGTCCTTGCCAAGAACTCTACCCGTGAGAGAATCTATCTAAAAGGAGACCAACTATTGTATTCCATTCCCACACCTGTGAGAACATCCTTCCATAAAGAGAACAATAGGGAAAGAACAATAAGGAGCCCATGTGGATGGTATCTATGACGTCAAACCCTAGCTATGGGCTGAGCCATGTGTTCTGTAGCCATGTGGTCTTACTTAAGCTAAGTCACATGCCAGTGTGACGTAGTAGCAAGTAATGTGACCATGTGGAGTGTCTAAGCCACGTGATACGGGTGCTTAATAGACGTGCAAAGGAGTTTATGTAGGAAAGGTTGCAACTGAGCTGCAGCCTGGAGTTTTACAGATAAAAACAAGAGGTAAATTGCGAAAATTAAGGGCTAGTCAGGCCATCCATGACAGCGCCTTCTGTCTCTGATGCGCTGATGCGCTCCTTTCCTGATCTGTGTATCACATGATAGAACTCTCTGGAACCTTGTGGAACATGCTGGAACTATGATGTCATAGTATAGAACATTCCATTAGATGATGTCATAGTTCTTAGAACCTTCTGGAAAAGTCTAGCCTTGGAACTGGGTCATGGGGTCAGGTCATGGGGACAATTGCTATTGGTTGATTATTGAAGTGGCACCACTAGGGCATAGGGCATGCTTAGTAAGGTAGATTACTTTGCTTACTCATGTAGGTATTAGGGGTCTTAGGGTAGTACCTGGGGTCCTCCCCTTCATGTATATATAGAGGCACTCCTGAGGGCATATCCCCTCAGTCTTATCCACTCTGTTGATCAAGGACTACTTTGTACTCCCCAGTACACACTCTCACCAACACTCTACTCTCTATCTCACTGTCTCTCCCTCAAGTTAAACACTTATCTGGTGAGTGTAACCTTAATTGTTACATTTGGATAAGACTGCCCCTACTCCCTCACGTCTCTGGACGTGCTGGAGGTTTCTTTCCCCTTTCTTCTAGGTCTTGTGCCTGTGCGTGGGCCCCCTTACAAATCCTCTAGAAATAGAGGTAGCCGTACCATAGGCTCTAAGTGGTAGTCTTGTCTAGGCCTTGCCTTGATGTGCACAACTTGAATCACCCTCTCACCCAACGCTCCTAGAGCTGATCAGAGCAGGGGTTGGCATTATGCCAACATGATGAAAGTGTGCCGCCCCACAGGTGATAGTGGAGTCTGGTGTCAGAAGCTCGTTATAAGAGCTAGACAACAGGACTGGAAGCTCATGAGTGCCTAGGCACAAAGACGGGTAACTGGTTCTGGCCGGACTTAGGGTCAGTGAAAAACTGATCTGCCAACCATTTGCCGCACGGGTAAAACCGTGACGGAGATCTTTTCACCACCGGACCTGGAGAGAGTGTCCAGGCCGACGCCGGCACTACCCCACGCACACACAGGATCTCTCCTTTATGGAGATTTGTTTTGCACATCACTGAGCTGTCAAGCTCATTACACATTGTCACACAGTTCACCATGCCGCTTTCCCACTACGTCGCTGTCAGATCTGGTCGCAAGACCCCTTACTCCATCCCTGTCTGCAATGAGGTCACCGGAGTTCAAGAACGTCTCACCGTCTCAAAAGAGACAATCAACAAGTTCAAGGATGCTGGCAAGCCTCGCCGGCTCGAATACCCCAATAACAAGCCCCTCATCAAGAGGACCAACTTTGAGGAGCAGGCTCGTACAACCATTGAGCATGAGGAAGACCAGGATTGTATGAGAAAGGTCTCTCACCTCATGTCTCAGCTCAGCCTTTTTGACAGGATTGAGAAGCAAGAGAAGAAGGAGGCTGACAAGCTTTCCCTTCTCCAGCGTATTGAGGAGCGCAACCAACGCGCTTACATTCCCACTCCCTCTCCACTTCCCACTCATCTCCACTTCCATAAATTAAAGCTTACGCTTCGTCAACAGGAGTTCGGAACAATGGTCACAGCAGAAGACTTGAGCCTGTGCTCAAGAAGCTGGACACCTCCTTCTCAAGTGGTGGGCAATCGTCTAATCAGCAGCTCAACACTTGTCGGGAGAAAGCCCAGCTGCTGATCAGTCGTGTCTTCATGATCAAACAGTGGTTCAAGGAGAATCACACGGACAAGATGTCCAATAGGGAATGGAGGATGTCAAAAAAGGACTTAAAGAGTTTAGGCAGGATTAGCTTTGTAGACATACATCGGAGATGGGGTTACATCCTAGAGTTACTAGAAGGGCTGTTTGACATGAATGCCTTTGTAGATGCAGAAATGGAATAAAATGTATGGGCTGACAAGCCTCATTTTACTCAGTGACAACTTCCTGAAAAGGATTT